GTATTTAGCTATAGCTTACGGGTTTTGCAAAGTTGCGAACTTAATCAAACGCTAACCTAATCTCCCCGGATACAGTTGCCGTGTGCATGCATTTTCCAAGTACGAAATGAAGATAAGAATTCTTGTATTTTCACTTCAACTCTAGTTCCTCTTTCACAGTTCACGAAACTTATTAATAGGTAGATTCTGAATCACATCATTGCCTTCGGGAATATAAAGGACTAAATTAATTTCATATAACTAATTTTGGCTCTGGCTGGAAACGTTTTCGACGACATTGCCAGCTGTGTCATTCGGAATTTTTCTCATGATGAGATACAACTCACAGCATAATATATACTTGAGCCTAAAAAAACTGTTAATGAGGCTGCGTGGAGTCCAAAACCCGCCGATTATAACGGACAAAACTAGGTTACGCGCATATGCCAGCGAGGCACTTTAGAATTGAAAACTAAAAAGAAAGGAGAAAAAATGACTTTGAAAATATAGGTTGAACAACTTCTCTTCGGAAAATGTTTAGGAAGTCCTGATGAAATAGGTCAATTCTCGTGAAATGGCTTCTCAGTAACGTTCTGTTTTTTTAGCAATAATAGCTGGACCAACCAACGTCACAATAATTTCAACACTGACTTTCAGCCACAAATGGACTCCATCTCTAGGGGTTATGACATGCGGTAACAGAACCGTCGAAAGTCCCAAAAGTAATTTTCCACATAAGTTCCTTTGTTCTCTGAGTTTTTACTTTTTTCTCTTGTTCATTTTTAGTTAGTAATTTTTTTTTTTTTTTTTTTTTTTTTTTTTTTTTNTTTTTTTTTTTTTTGAGAGCTTGCGCACTCTAGGAATAGTTCATTGGCCTTAGTCGTGTAGACAAACAGCCACCGCTAAATGATGGGAAGATTACAACAACAGTAGAGACAGAAGTACAAAGGAAGAAACGAAGGAAGAAACGAAGAGAAACATCCATGCCACTCCACGGTGACAAGATCTGAGACCATCAAATCTTGCCACCGAGGCCGGGATTCGAACCCCGGACATCTAGGTCTGTGATCAGTTGCGCTAACCACTGGACCAACCGATGTCGGCTTAGTTTTTATTCTTAGAAACCAATCCTACTAATTTTAAATGTTAATATGATATCTCAGTATTATGCGACAAATGCAAATTATATTATTTTTTAATCAAATTTCCCGCCACTTTTTGCGATCTGCTCAACATATTTTAAAGAACACTAATCAAACCATCTATTTTAGAGTCCCTTTATACTGAGAGTAAAGACAATGCGAATCCATTTCTGATTGGTTCCCGTATTTTAGGCCTTTACCGTGTCACAAACGGGAATAAGGATTAAGGTTTCACCACTTGCAAAGATTATAAACTGGAATGGACCGGGACATTAGGAGTACGTTGTCTCTGGGAGCACGGCAAAAAACAAATGAAATGAGAGAGAGAATGGAGATAGGAATTCGGGAAAGGGTTGATCAAAGATTACAAAAAACGTCCAATTTGTGTAATCTTTATTCCCGTTTGTGACATCCATGAGCCGCGTTGTCTTAACTCTCTATGAAGGGACTCTACATTTCTTCAACTAAATTTTTGCAATTACTCTTTCAATTTGATTTTGTAACACTTCTTTTTAAGATATTTTTGTATTCAATAACATGTAAATTTCCAAACGACGCAAATATAATCAATCAATCAATCAGTGTTAAACGTTGTGATGCAGTGAGATTAAATTCTCTGCATGCATTAAAAAAGGCCCAGCTTGTTGACTGGCGAAGTTTGAAGAGATGCCATCAATGAAAGAGGGTTGCTACCGACTGACTCATCGGATGCAACAAGTGTTTTTTTAAGCAGCGGCTTAGTCATTGCGTCGCATCGTTCGAGCAACAGTTACGCACCTGTTGCAATCCCGATGGCAAGTCTACCCCTAGGTGCCGGTTTACCAATGTATTTTTTTTTTCTTTCTTCTCGTATGCAAATTAATAATTTTAAGTTTTGAAATTGAGCTATGTTGCAGACGGAGGAATTTGCGACGCACATCGCAAATCTAAAGAAAACTTTGAAATGTCCCCCAAAGTGTACATAACGCTTGCGTGTTGAACTTCAGGAAAGAATGTCCCAACTTTAGAATATTGTGTAACGAATTTTTTAAGGAAATTTGGATGTGAGAAATTTCTCGGAGAGGAAGAGGTAAACATGACGGACAGTATAATAGGGGAAATAAGTGGATACTTGATGATCTACAAGAATGGAGCTCAACTCCCAATTATTTGTCAGAGTTGCGTGGCACGTTTGTCAAATTGAATTCTTATCTCTTCTAACCTTCCATACTTCAAAACTTCAGGACGCTGAAAATACCCTTTAAAACAATTCCGAGCGTTTCCTTGGATCATGCCAAACATTCTAGGGGTATTCTATGCATTATTTTTTCAGAATCTACGAGAACATTTTATTAGTTCCCGTTGTTTAAAAATTAGGTGGCATGTTTCATTTATTGACGGCGTAAGTCCGCAATCACAGTCCGCAATCACATATCTCGTTTGTGGTGTCTGAAAATCTCCGCCTCTATGTTATTCTTTTACAGGAGAACAAATTGACATCATTCCTTGGAGTTTATGCAGAATTTTCTTCACACAGCGAAGAAAAATCACGGCAGTTTTAAAGAATCGCCGTTGAATAGTTTTCCGTTTAAAACATAAAGAATGAAAGGAAGTCTGCGACGTCACAAACCGAGTTATGCGATTGCCAACTCACACCGTCGTTATATTTAAAAAAAAAAATGTGGGATTTTTTAGGCTACTATTTCTTTCAGATACACGATTTTCAAATTATTCTTCTAATATTATTCATCCATGAAAATGGTCTGTGAAATGTTTTTAGAATAATGTGCTTTAGTTTTTTCTAGAAAGATACCAATATTATTCCCGGAAAATAGCTTTCATTTGGAGAAAAGCGTGAGACTCCATGAGATTTTTTAAAACATTTTAACAGACTCTGAAGGTTAAAAAATATGAAAAACAACGGAAACTTAATTGTGAAAATGTGAAAATATCTTAAGCCGAAACGTGAGAGTTTCTTATGACATGGACAACTATTCAAATCATTAATGAAATCATCACGTTGCAGATTTTTCTTGAACCGTTCCGCGGATTACAGCGACACATACATGCAACGGGATGTACACCCACAAATGACGTCATTTGTAGTTTTGCCATTTAATTGATGTTAATTTAATATACTAACATCATCTTACGAGCTTATTTTTAAACTTCTCGCTGTGCAATTAATTTTCTACGTTAAATTTCGCAGAGTTGAAATGTAAAAGAGTGCTTTATTTCGTATTTAGTCTAGAGCCTTATCGTCGGGCTCTTGTTGCAGGTTGCATGCAAATAGAAAATCGAATCCTTAAATTCTGCTAAATTTTGTTAAACTTTCGTATTAAGAAGAACCGTCATTAATTCCTTGCGTGAAATTTGAATTTCTCTTTCTATTTCAGCTTTCCCCCCATTTTTTACGTAATCGTAAACATACCGATACCCGAAAAAAATCGAAATAAGAAAAACAATTTTTTAAAACCGTCACAACGTTCTTTTGACGATTTATTTCACGAATATAATTATGAATACTTAAATTTTCTTCAGGAGTTGATTCACCAACTGCTCTTAATGCGAATCTTTTTCTAAGTAAAATTTTAAAAAGAAAAATGTCATGGTGTGCCCTACTTTGTACCTCGTTTAGGGTTCCGTTTTCGGATAAATTGTCGCGGGATGCAATGAGCAGCCCCAGATGTTTCTTTAATATCTGTTTCAGCTTTACAGGGAAAAAAACTTTCAACAGCAATCAGTTTTCCTCAGCAATCGGGATTAATCGCAAAAAATGTATATGTCGCAGGAACAAATCAGGCATTTTACCAAATGCACATTGTACAGGCACACATTAAAATATCTTTACTTAGAATGAATTTTTATAATTCTTCCCCTATTTTTTTTTTTTTTTTTCAAAAGAAATTTTATTTAAGTAAAACGTAACTATTGCAAAGTTTCTTATTGTAACTATCTAAATGATTGAAAGAAACTCAATTAATTTCATTAAATATACAAAGTAACGTTAGATAATAAAATCCCCCTAATTTTAGACAAAATAATTCATTGCTTCCAAAGGAAACATTCTCTGTAAAATGTGCATTATACAAGAGGAAACTAAACGATTTTTAGCTCCTGAGCGAGTATTTATCTTGAAATTTTCAGCATGGCGTAAAAATATGATCTATGAAATTTTCAACATTTGAATACATGATAAGCTTTGAAGAGGGACAAAAGGGAAGAGTTCATAGATTTAATGACTTATTTTTCCCAAAATATTAAAAACTCATGAGTTTATCGTCGTAAATTTACAAAATTTTGAAAACTATCAAAATTTAAATATCTGCTTCCCAAAAGACTGGAAACTCTCTAGTTTTCTGTCATAAATTTACACAATTTCGTTAACTGTCAAATTTAGACTATCTGCTTCGCAAAATATCGAAAACTCGTGAGCTTTTCGTCATAAATCTCTAAAATTTCATAAACTGCCCAAATTTGACAATGCACAGAGGCATTTGAATAAACGCCTTATTAGACTGATGGAGAATTTGCAGGTGTCTTAAATTCTGTGAATTTCATGTTCAAAATGACACTGCTAGGAAAACTGAGTACTAGGATATCCTTGGTTTCGAAATTGACCAATTATTGGAGAAAATATGACAAAATAACCTAATCTGCTCCAATACATGTGTTTAAATGGACAATGCCGCCAGATGCCGTCATACGGCGGCACATCGTCTCACTTTTGAATATATTTTCTTTAAAATTTCTCATATCAGAAAAAAAGTATGGAAAATACTACGAACTCAGCTCATTAGGCACTCTCATATGAAGCAAAAAAAAAAAAAAATTGTGTGCAAATTCTCCATTGCCTAAGACATATATTATAGATTAAAAGGAAGTGAAAAAAGTCCTTACCGGTGACGAGGTTTATCCGAGGAGCAGAAGACTCTCTTCTGGAGCTGGAAGACCTCCGATGGGTGAACTAAAAGGAAATCAGACGGAGCAGAAGACGAAAGCGGAGCGGGTGTAATACTCGAGAGCTCACGGGTGCCGGGATCCGAAAAATGATTAAAGCGGTGGCCAAGAGCAAGAGCAACGGTGGCGGGTTTTAATTTGTGCGGAAATTTCGAGGACTCTTCGTATGCGCGGCAAAGCTTTTATAGAAAACGCGTGGAGCCTTTCCCGGAGCACCCTCCTCCACATCCATCAGGTTTCAGCCCTCCCATTCGGCCTCCCGCGTTTGCGCCTCCCGGATCCTCAGCCGAGGCTCCCAACTCCGCCACCCCGTTTCCTTCCAACGCTGGACGGCCTCCGGACTCATTATTCAAATTCATAGACAAAGTCATAGACAGATAGGACACATGGACGTATTTCTGCCAAACGGAGCTATGCGCATTATGACGTGAGCCCTGTTACGCATGCATTTTCAGGGATCTCAGAGCTCATGTCTTAATGCATATACTTCCGTTCGACAGAAATACTTCCACATGAGGGACTCGGAGCACGAGGTGCATAAGTGCAGTTTTTCCTACTCCCAGAAATAAGTGTTTGGCCTTCCGGAATTACATGGATCCTCATGGCGGGATGAAAGTTCTAACTTACTGTTTTTTGCTTAAAAATTGAAATTTGGGAGCGAATTTTTCAACGCTGAATGGCCTCCGGACTCATTATTCAGATTCATGGACAAAGTCATAGACAAAGAGGACATGTGAGAGAGGACAAGGTGCATAAGTGCAGTAATTCCTACTTCCAGAAATAAGTGTTTGGCCTTTCGAAATTACATGGATCCTTACAGCCGGATACAAGTTCTAACTTACTTTTTTCTGCTTAAAAACTGAAATTTGGGAGCGGATTTTTCTTAACATATGCAGTCACACATATCGACGGTGCAAGTCGGCAATCACATATCTCGGTTTGCGACGTTGTAGACTTCCTGTCATACTTTATTTTTTAAATGGCAAAACTACTCGACGGCAATTCTTTAAAACTGTCATGATTTTACTTCTCAATGCGAAGAAAATTCTGCAAAAACTTCAAGAAATAATGTCAATTTGTTCTCCTTTAAGAAAATGACGTAGAAGCGGAGATTTTCAGACACCGCAAACGAGTTATGTGATTGCCGACTTTCACCGTCGATATGCAACGTATGCATACTGAGACTAGTTTTACTCGAAATCATTAATTAATCAATTTTCTCAAAAACTGCACTTGTGTCTCTTGTCCTCCAAGCCGCTCAAATGGAAAACGAAGCGACTCTATCGGTTTAAGCGGGTGCTTGTAATAGACAAAGTAGGTAAGTAATGGATAAAACAAACCCACAAAAAAATATGTTCTCCATATCGGTGTAATAAAGCGGAGAGAACGGCTTTACACCACCACCAGGACTTTAAAGATCATTGGTTTGACTTCGGTGGTGCTAAAGTTATAGCTTCCGAGATCCGCGAAGCAACATTTTCCAAGAGTCCTTCTTGAGATGGTCCACATCCTCAAGAATAGAGATAAAGTTCTAGAGATGAAGTAGCCAATGTAGATGGACGCAGTAGTATTTATCACCAGTTATTCCATTCGGACCTACATGGATCTAGAACACCTGAGAAATCTCCGTTTTGATGTGCCTCGTTTTCAGTGCATTTGTTCGTTTATTTCGGTTTCATTATTAGTCTGACAATAACAGCGCTAAGGCTCAGTTTCTTTATTTTTAATTTTCCTTCTTTCCGGTTGAAAATGCGGCTTGGATACTGCGAAACGTCCCGGATTTTTTATTTCATATGTTTTTATTTTTGCGGTCTTAGTCCCATTTTCAGTAAATTTCGTATTACTTCCCCCGAAAAAGGTATTTCCCGTAAAAAGGTAATAAATAGAACCAGGTGTTGTGGATATCCACAACACCTTGCTTCTATTTATTACCTTCAATGTTGTTTAGTGTTTTTTACCGTCAAAGTCGTGTAAGCTGCTCACCCTATTCGTTGCAGCTAGAGAGCTTCACGATAGAAATATTTTGTGCTAAGTTAACTCAATGCGTTGTCTAGTATCAAAACATGGTTTTCATCAAGAGTTCAAAATTGACAGAGATTCGATTTTTCCTTCAAAAAAGGGGGATAGGACCTCAGTGTGCAAAGGTAATTATAACGATTCGATCGGTAATATTCTCAGAATTGTGTGAGCAACTATTTCCCGTGCCAGTGTTTTTCTTATTTCATTCGTACTTAGTTCCTTTAAGCATAAATACGTCAAATTTTTTACGAAAATCCCTCAAAAGAAGGGAACCCTATCCCGAGAAACTTCCCCATTCGGCAACGCCCCAAAAGGGCACTCACATCATCGTCATGAATAAAGTAGGAGGGGCGGAGTCATTTTCATAAGCGATCTCATCATTCAATTGCAAACGATACGGATGCTCGCTACGCTTTATGACCGCAGCGAGCACGTAGCTTTTCCAAAGGTTAGCAAAAACGACGTATCTACTTGAGGATTCTACTAGATATATGTTTTCCTTACTTAGAACGGCAGACAATGCAGCTGAACCCTTAAAAATACCGGCCAGAAACGGAAAGATTTGCTCAGGAAATCCTTTTTCCCGATGTGGAGCTTTGGAGAGAGCTGCCATGCTATGAAAGAACGCCGTACGAGCCTTCAGACGTTGCCAAGTTTCCTCCGATAAAAACCAAATTTACCGGGAAAATTGTGAATGTAATTTTCCAAAATTTTCAAACAATTTTCCACGCAATTTAATCTAAAATATCTGAAAATTTCAAGGCGAAATATGCATGAATGTTGTCAAAAATATATGTTTTATCAGGGAAAATTTGGCAACTCTCAAATGTTCATACGGCGTTCTTCCTAGCACGGCAGAGGAGCTCCTCGCTGAAGTCAGTCATAACTTACTATTAGCATTTGTTATAAAGGCTGATTTCTGTGAGATATCTTTAGAAGTTGCCGCACTTTCCTAATCAATTTTTCTTATAGAAATTCAAATTTCAGTTTTTTACCGTACCACCTAGTGCGAAACACACACCCACACACCCTCACACTCACACAAAATTCTTTACCGTTCGCGCGCAACGCCAAATTCAACGTAAACCGAATCGGAGAGGCAATCTAATATTATTTTGTCTGACACATTGTGTAGTATCCAGCTTCGACAATTTTACTGCAGTTCTTATACATGATAATCCTAAACTTGTTAAAAAAAATATATATACTTACAGACTTGTGGTAGTTAAGGTCTTAAATATCTCACTTTTTCCAAAAATTGCACTTATGCGCCTTGTCCTCCAATCCTTTCGATGGGCCAGTTGCGCCGGTCCTTCATGCACGCTGGGCTTGTCGATTTCCTTTCACATTTTTGCAGTGGTGAATGAATAGCTGAAGTGCGCTCCAGCTAGATTTGTATTTAGCAAATTGGTGGTTTTTCGACGAGGGTTAAAAATAAACGAGTGGCACGGAATATAACAAAAGAATATGAAGTATGCAAAACGATAATCCGGGTATCGGAACTTGGCTGTTTTGAAAACGCCTTCAAATGCGGCGTCATACCTCACGCATTCCGGAGAGTTCAAATAGTTGTATCATTGCGCCGTTAGGATGTGACGGAAGATTTAAATGGAAATAGCCTTCATGCACGCTGGCTTTCTCGATTTCCGTTAACATTTTTGCAATTATGAATGCGCTTAAGTGCGCTTCAGCTAGAATTGTACATAGCAAATGGGTAATTTTTATAGGTTGGATTATAATTAAACAAGTGGTTAGAAATGAAAACAAAATTCTATGAACTATGCAAAACGATTATTCAGATCTCGGAACTTGGCTGTTTTGAAAACGCCTTCAAATGCGGCGTGATACCTCACGCATTCCGGAGAGTTCAAATAGTTGTATCATTGCGCCGTAAGAATGTGACGGAAGATCTAAATGGAAAAAGCCTTCATGCAGTCCCGCCACATCCCATCTCAGGCCCTGGTACCAGTTTTAAGTCCGGGCCCCATGCACGGAGGAGGGGAGGGGGGTCCGAGGATCATCCCCCGAGAAATTTTAGAATTTATACGACTAATCGGACGCATTTTGAAGCTTCTTAAAGGAATTTTTCCATCAATTTCTGCTGAATAATTATGTTTTTTTTCCTACTTTCAGCACAAAATACTTGCGAATTGTTGCATTTAAGACATCTGGAAAATTTTAATTTTTTTTTTCCTGGGGGGAGTCATATGATACTATTTTCAGTTCTATGAGGGCCAGGCCCCCCTGGACTCCCCCTTCGTTTGTCTATGGCAATGGAGTTGAGCCATGAGCCATTGAAGTCAAGGATGCCCAGACTGGAGACTCTCAGCATCTGACGACGGAAGAAAATGAAACGCAGTTACTAAAAATATCCCTCTGTACTGAAAATTTTGAAAAAAGATAGAAATTTTCCAAGAGGTATACTTCTTTGAAAATTTATGAAGAATTCTACATTGCCCCAGCGTGTTTGTGAAACTCTATTCACCTTTTGCGAAATTTTTAGGGTAAATTTTTCACTTTTTCTTACGAAACAAGGGTTGCATGTGAATTCGTAGTGGTTTTTCACGGGTAACACGGGCCCCCTGAGGGGCCCGGACCCCGGTACCAGGGACCCAGTATCCCCCCCCCCTTGTGGCGGGCCTGGCGCCGGTCACAGAATCGCGTTTGGATGCTCGATTCTTGCTGATTAGCTGAAAATAATAAGATTTGTTTCAACTGCAACTTTCTACGTTCAATATTAACCGAGAAATAGCTCTTTGAAAAGTCGGAGTTTTGACGTTATACACCGCGGTAGTGACACCCTTGGTTTCTTCCACCTTGCTTCCATCAGTGACGTACTGGTTACTAAACGTGAAACTTAGATGAAAGCAAGGTGGAAGGAACCAAGGATGTCACTATACCGCGGTGGACGACGTCAAAAACCCGACTTTTCAATGGGCGATAACTCGGTTAATATTGAACGTAGAAAGTTGCGGTTTGGACAGATCTTATTATTTTCAGTTAATCAACAGTATCAAAACACGATTTTGTGACCAGCGCTATGACCCATTAACAGACAAAAAAAATGCCACTCTTTCACATGTAAGTTGGATCTCGAGGTCTTCAATGTTATTCAAAGAACGTTGAAGAACGTAATTGCTGCGTTGAAACAATTCATTTTAGGAATGAAAGAAACAC